CATGGGCAACTTCAGGGTCTCCGGCAGGGAGACGAATCGGTGGCTGACTATATTGGCCGCGCACATGTGATTGTTGAAGATCTGGAGTTGGTCGGTCGGTCGGACCCCTCGATGATCAGAATATGTACCTGTTTCATGGTCTCCGGCTGGAGTACCAGCCGTTGGTGGTGACTTTGACGGAGAGAGGTGAACCAGTCACGATGGCAGAGCTTTTTGATTTTTTGATGGCCAACGAGTTCGTCTGTGGGGATGATTATGTCCCTGGTGGTGTTGGCGTCACTCTGGCGGTCATGGTGGCTAAGCGTGGTCGCGGCAGAGGAAGATGGGGGTCCTCGCGTGGCGGCAGACGCGGTCACGGCAACGGCAGGTACGGAGCCGGAGTTCCCCGTGCTGTCAGATTTGTGGCGTCGCCGGCCACACTACCGTGGGCTGTTTCCAGCGATACGCGCCGCCGATAGCTTTTCTTCATGCGAATATGGCATATGCGGCGAATGGCTCTTCTTCTTTGGGTCCTCACAATTGATTCCCGGATACGGGTGCCACGAGTCATGCCACGCCGGATCCTGGTTTGTTGACTACTGCCACTGATTATACAGGTTCGAATGTTCTCCGTGTTGGAAACGGTTCAGGTTTGTCTCAGGTTATTCCTCAGGAACCCACTTGCTTTTCTCAGGCTGTTCGCCATGTTGAGTGGCGTGAGGCGATGGATGCGGATTTCAATGCTCTTTTGCACAATCAGACGTGGCGTCTTGTTCCGGCTCAGTCTGGTATGAATGTTGTTGGCTGCAAGTGGGTGTTTCGTGTTAAGCGCAAGGCGGATGGTTCGGTTGAGCGCTACAAGGCCAGGCTTGTGGCGAAGGGTTTCAATCAGGTCCCGGGCGAGGGATTCTTTGAGACTTTTAGTCCTGTCGTTAAGCCTACGACTGTGCATCTGCTTCTCTCTTTGGCCTGTTCTCGTGGCTGGGTGATTGGCCAGCTAGAGATCTATAATGCTTTCCTCAATGGTCGGTTGGCTGAGACTGTGTACATGCGTCAGCCTCCGGGGTATGAGGGTAAGACGCATCCAGACTATGTGTGTTTGTTGCAGCGCTCGTTGTATGGTCTGAAACAAGCTCATAGGGTTTGGTTTATGCGTCTACATGAGTTATTGGTGTTGGTTGGTTTTTGACCTTCGAAGACTGATGTCTCGTTATTTATATATTCTGTTGATGGTGTTTTTGTGTATCTTTATGTCAATGATATCTTGATTATGGGCAGTGACTCGGCTTGTGTTTCTGCTTTTGTTAGTCGGTTGCCTATTGCGTTTAAGGTGCATGATGCGGGACGCCCTTCTTTTTTTCTTGGTATTGAGACTATTTATGTGTTTGGTGCATGTTGATGTCTCAACGCCGGTACATGGGTGATATTTTGAAAATGGCAGGTATGGTTGATTGTAAGGCCTTAGTCACGCCCCCCTCTCTGTGGTTAAGGTGGATCTTGGCTCTGTTGATCCCACGCACTACAGGAGTCTTGCTGGTGCCTTGTAGTATCTGACAGTGACTCGTCCTGATCTGTTTTTTGCAGTGAACAGGTTATGTCAGCACATGCACTCTCCGACTGTTGCTCTTGCGCTATGCTGAAGCGGGTCTTGCGCTATATTAAGGTACTTTACATTTTGGCTTGTGCTTCCGTTAATCTCCTTCAGATGTTCTGAATGCTTTTAGTGACTCTGATTAGGTCGGCTCGCCTGAGGACCGAAAGTCTACCAGTGGTTACGCTGTTTATCTCGGGTCCAATTTGATTTCGTGGTCGTGTCTGAAGCAGAGAATTGTGGCTCGATCGTTTACTGAGGCAGAATACAAGACATTGGTAGATGTTTCGGCTAACGACACCTGGTTAGTTGCCTTGCTACGTGAATTGGGTCTACCTCTTTCTGTGTCTCCCAAGCTGTGGTGTGATAACTTGAAGCCACCTATCTCTGTGCTAATCCTGTCTTTCATGCCCGTACTAAGCATGTTGAAATAGACTATCATTTTGTGCTTGATAATGTGGCCAAGGGGGAGCTTCAGGTCAATTTTATCTCTACGAAGGATAAGATCACGGTTATCTTTACTAAGCCCTTGGCTGGGCCTCGGTTTACTCAGCTTCGTGACAAGCTCAATGTTGTTAGTCGTCCCACTTGAGCGGGGGAGTATTTGGAATATGTTTTGGATAATCTTATATTCTGTTATGGACTCTTTAGCTTGTGTATTGTGTTTAGATTTCTATTGTATTTATTCTATTCAGACTTACCTTATCAATATACAGAATATTCCATTCTCATCCCTATCACCTTAGTTCTTAACCCATGATAAAGCTTTTTTTATAGCAAGAGCTTCAGCAGTATGAGGATCGTTAAGACAACATAAAGGGCCTTTCGCGGTTAAGAATTTTTTATTAACATTTAACATAACCACACCGAAATAAGATTCTCCCAGCTCAGGAAAAACAGTTGCATCCACTTGACAAAAAATATGATCATTTAGTGCATTCTGTGAACGTAAATTCAAATGAGGAGGTAAAGTGCCAACTAATTGATCTTGTCTCACCATCTTGTGCCATTCGTTTATCAAATGCATCGCTAGAAATTGCAACTCTGTAGGACTCCGAAGGGTATGTAACGACTTTGACTGAACAATGCAAGCTAAGTTATGACACATCAGAACTGACACGGGTATGAGATAGAAAATATGTCATATGCATGGTGTATTTTTTTTTTTTTTTCCCTGCAAAATACATGTATTTGGTATGCAGTGGTATGGAGATTCATCTATTTGGCATGAAATGGTAAGGTCACACCAGAGATTCTGATTCCGCACGATCTAATCAGTAAACAAGTGTCTTCAATCCCTTCATAAATAAACACCTTACAAAACTTACAAAATAAAATAATACGGAATATCATTCTTCAAATAAACCTAATAAATTTATAATTTTATTGTTAATAGAAATCCTAAATAGAATTACAAGACAATTAGGATTCCTGAACTAAAATAGTTTGAAGGGAAAAGATTCAAATAGACCTCTAAATTTTATTCGAAAAGACTAGTTAATGACGTGCTATTGATGGTCACAAAGATTTTTATGACCTTTGGAGTATCTCCAATGACTTTCCGACCAATTCAGGTAAGATTTTGGGAACAAACACTGACAACCAGCGTGTTCGTCGGTCGCTTTCTTCCCTTGGAAGCAACCAAAAGGTCACCTTCTACCGGAGAAGACAACCATTTTGGTCGACTTCTCCGGAAGAAGCCAGGAAGGTGACCAAAATGGTCGCCAGCAGAAGGTGATCCACTAAGCAGGTTTGAATTGAATTATGTGAAACTAGGTAGGCAAACCACTACTATAATAATAATAATAAACAATGTCACAAAATGGAAGAAGAAGATATAAATCTTATGCCAAAATGCTTCTGGAAGTTGACACAAACTTCACTCTCAATTGCCGCACCAAACCAGAAATCGCAGACCGGAAGCTGCTGTCCAGAAATGGAGAAAATTGCTACTGCCAGATTAATCCTTTGCTGTTGCGAAAGGTACCTGCTGCCAAAAATGGAGAGAACTCGTTGCCCAGAACTGTCGTCGACGAACCAGACTGCTGTAGAAGAAGGAAAGTCACCTTCTGCCGGAGAAGGCAATTGTTTTGGTCACCTTGGCTAGAGCCTGCTCACTGCACACAAGGAACCCTAGGCAATCGTTTTGGTCACCTTAGATCATTTTTTTTAAGTACCTCAGTGACCAGTTAAGCTGCCATGCAGTTGAATTTTGATAAATCATAAATATATAACTAGAGGCTATTTAGTCAATTACACGGGAATTGTGGATTTGCAATCGACGGAGAATGAGAATACCTTGACGGTAGTCGGGAATGACGTACACCTTGATATCTTATTTAAATGTTTAGGTTTCCAATTGTCCGGTGGTTAGACAAATTTGACGAAGCCCATGTGATGGTGGATTGCTAATTTGCTTTTCTCTTTTGAGCTTTCTAGACACTTTTTTTTTGTAAAAGCTTTCTAAACTTTTATTGACTCCATTTATAGTGTGGAGAAGCTCTGGGTGGTTGTTGGCTACCGGGGCTGATGCACGGCTCTTGGGTTTCTGGTTGGGCAATGTGGGTGGCATGTGAGACTCCAATTGTATTCTCAACTCTTCGTCTCCGATTTCAGAAAACCAAAAACGGATAACTCAATTTTTTAATATATAAATAAATATAATAATTAAAATATATGTATCTTTTGGGTAATTGGGCCCTTTCTATAGATGGCCGATGGGGGCTTTGGGCAGGTGCCCAACTGATCTTTGCACAAGAGCCTGGTTTGGGGGCAAATTATATCGTGCATCAGGACGCACGGATCAAAATGACGGCATTTTCATTTTCTGCCGTTAACTTTTTAAAAAAAAAAAAACAAAAATTATGTTTTAAATGTATAAAATTGTATAGTAGAATACACATACACTCCTAACATAATATATAATACACATAAACTTTTAACATAATACATATAAACTCTTAATATAATACACAAGAACTCTTAATAGAATACAGGAACTCTTAACAGTATAAACATAAATGTAAGTGTTTAAAAAAAAAACTATAACGGAATTGGACGGACGGAATGGTGACACGACCGTCGTGTCAACTCCCCACACAACTTATAAAAATGACGTCGTTTTGGGCCAGGATACACAATGCATTGTGCGCCTTGGTGCACGATATAACGATTGGGGGTTGGGTAAGAAGGTAACCATTTAAAAAATAAATAAACAGAATAATCTCCTTAATGCTTTATATTTTTTATCCAAAATTTAGATTGTGGAGAAAAAAATTAAAAATATAGACCAAGTTCAAGAACTCAAGGAAACAAAGAAGCACCCGTCTTTTAGGACATTATTATGTTAACAAAAATTGAAAACCTAAGACCAAATCATCTAAACATAATCACTACAGAATTGATAATATAATGGACATATATGCATGTTTCACTATTCTGCTCCGCCATTCACATTATGCCCTTCTAATATAATACGTACTTTAATATATTAACAGTATATTTTACATTACAAAAGATTATTTTATATATTATATATGTGATATGTGATTTGTTGCACGTGGAGATTAATCATGAATGGTTTGCCCTCTATCTCAGATCTGATCTCTACACCTGATAGTATGGCAAGAGCGACGGCGGAGCTGATCCTAATCCCTTCTCCGGCGATGGGCCATGTTGCCGGGATGCTGGAGTTCGCTAAGCTCCTCATAAAACGATCTGAAAACCTCTATATAACCGTCGTTATCATCAAGCTCCCTGATTATATCGATTCCGTCAGCGGCACTTTCGTCGACGCCGTCATCGGTTCCGCCCAAGAAAGTCGCCTCCGGTTTTTCCACCTCCCACCCACTGATCCAGCTAGCGAGTGGAGCTCCAAAACTCGAGGCCACTTCGTCTATAGGCTTGTACAGAGCCAGAGAAATCACCTTAGAGATTTCTTCCAGCAGCGCCGCCGCCGCTGCGGCTTTGACTCCGACTCTCCGGGGATCGTCGGGGTGGTGGTTGATATGTTAGCTACGCCGTTAATGGAGGTGGCGGAGGATTTTGGGATTCCCAGCTACGTGTTCTTCACCTCGGGAGTTGCGTTTCTAGGGCTCATGCTTCACTTCCAGGTTCTTCAGGACGAGAAGGGGGAAGACGTCTCTGAGTTAGTGAACTCGTTGACTGAGTTGTCCTTTCCGAGTTATGATAACTCAGTTCCAGCTTCAGTGTTGCCGATGGTACTTGTCGACAAGGAGACCTGGCTGGGCAGATTTGTCTGCTTCGCACGTGACTACAGAAAAGCAAAGGGCATTATAGTCAATACCTTCGCCAGCTTGGAATCCCACGCCATAACGGCCTACAAGAGCACCACCGAACAACAACCCCCGCTTCCTCCGCTCCACACTGTGGGACCCATCGTGAACCAGACACGCACAATCTCCGGCGAGTCGGCATCCGTGTCAAACTGGGATTGGCTGATGAGCTGGCTGGACGAGCAGCCTCCGGAATCCGTCGTGTTCGTATGCTTCGGGAGCCAGGGGAGCCTACCGGAGAATCAAGTGAGAGAGATCGCCGCCGGGCTCGAACGCAGCGGCTGTCGCTTCCTCTGGTCCCTCCGGCGGCCACCGCAACGCGATAGCGACAACAACAAGGCGCAGTTTCCGGGAGAATACGCGGATTACAACGACATCCTACCGGACGGATTTCTCCACCGGACCGCGGGAACAGGGAAGGTGGTAGGGTGGGTGCCGCAGCTGGAAATACTGTCACACAGAGCCGTCGGCGGCTTCGTATCACACTGCGGATGGAACTCGATTCTAGAAAGCATATGGTGCGGAGTGCCGATCGCAACTTGGCCGGTGCACTCGGAGCAGCAGGTGAACGCTTTCCAGCTGGTGAGAGAGTTGGGGATGGCCGTGGAAATAAGCTTGGACTACTGCGAGAGAAGCGTTAATGGCGGAGGCGGCGAAATGGTGACGGCGGCGAAGATAGAGAGAGGGATAAAGGGAGTGATGGAGAAGGAGAGTGAGGTGAGGAAGAAGGTGAAGATGATGCAAGAAGAAAGCCGGAGGGCCTGGGAAGATGGATCTTCCATCTCCACACTCATAGCTCAATTCACCAACTAACACACTTCACAATGGCTGAAACCCTGATTGATGATCACCACTTCAGTTCCATTCTTTCTCAACATATGGAAAATGCTTCTTTTTTCCTATAATTTAATTTACACTATCAATTGCTCCATATAAGTTTTATATTTGACCATATACATGCACACCATATTGTATAAAAGTATTTGCCAACTAGTAGTTGCAATTCATAGCTCAAATTAAAATGATGCGTGGCCTTGGCCAAAAATGTGATTTGAGAACTTGTTCTCCAAAGCTAACGGGATAAGCAACCTCAAAAGGTTAGTGTACTTAACTTTATAGCAACAGTTATATATACCATGGACCCGATCCACCTTGCAAGGTAGATTTGGAATCAAATACACAATTTATCTATTGAATGTTCATAATTTGAATTGTGAACATTTAATATATAAATTGCGAACATTCAGTATGTAAATTGTTTATTTTAGATCAAAACAAGGTAGATCCGGATCTACGGAATAATTTGACTTTTATAATTACATTAACGGTTTACTTATCAATTATTGAATTTTTTTGGAGTGCTCCAGACGAAATTAAACCTCAACCGGAGCTTCAGTAAGAAACTATTTGCATGGCGACTCCGAACTTGTCAACTCGAAGAAGATTTGTGAGTTCACCCCGTGGAGATTTCATAAAAGAAGTATTATCCCAATCACCCGATTTGGTCAAATCTTAATTATGCAAAATTTTTGTTTGACACATTATTAAGTTTTTTTAGTTTATGTTAGATTAATCCTAAACCTTTAGAGCATTGCCCAAGAGTTAGTGAAAGGGATAAATCTCTAAGTCGCTCAAACAATCTCTCAGTCAGTCTCTATTGTTGACTCTAATTATACAGATTTTTTACTGCGAAACGAGAGATTGAAAGCCATGGTTTAAGGAGTAAAAAGATCCGGAGCGGGGATTTCGCGGTATTAGAACACCGAAGCCCATATTGGGCTTTGGGGCAATTTATATCCTACACCACGGCGCGCGTTGCACTATGCGCCCAGATGCAAAACGACGTCGTTTTAATTTTTTTTTTTTTTTGCAATTTCCCGCCCCAGTGAATGGCAGTAGTTTTTTCTTTTAAAAAAAAAACCCGCTATTCAAGAATGTACATAATGTTATACTAGAATACACATAATGTTATACATGAATGTACATAATTATATAACAAAATATACATACTCTTTTTAAAAGATAATACACATAATCTAACATAATACATAATAAACATAAACTTTTAACATAATACACATCAGCTCTTAACATAATACACACAAATTTTCTGATTCGGATGTACATAGTTGTATAAAAAGAATGTACATAATTGTATAAAAAACACACATAACTGTATGAACCAATACACATAACGTTGTGAACAAATACACATAACGTTGTGAACAAATACACATAATCTCAGCAACTTCCTACCGCGCCTCCCAACACTACCCAAAACGACGTCGTTTTGGGAGGCGCGCGGCGCACAGTGCTATGTGCGCCGTGGTGTAGGATATAACGATTGGGGCTTTGGACAGATGCGTGATATAATATTGGGCCTGTTGAAATAATAGCCCCTCAAGGTGATCAAATGATAAGAAAATACTATAAGCAGAAGATCCAAGGACATTTTATGATGACCACCCTCATTTACTAAGCATTTGGATCTTTAGCGATATATTATGCGGATTGTCAAGATGAAACTCAACTCTAAAAATATGCTTAATAATGGAGTTTTCATTGTGATTTTTGAACAATTTTTGTAAGTGCGATTAGAAAATAGAAGTTGGGAGGGAAGAGGAAAAAAAAACAATAAAAGCTGATTAAAAAAAAAGTGGACCCCGCATTTCTGCAACACGAGAGAGAGAGAGAGAGAGAGAGAGAGAGAGAGAGAGAGAGAGAGAGAAGCGGAGACATTACTGGCAAAGTGAACCCCACATTTCCGCAAAAATCTCATATTTGCAGGAGACATTTTATCTTCTCTCTTTCATGTTGGCAAAAATTTTCTCAAAAATCGTAAGAAACCTTCTCATGGGGGAATGACCTAAGAAGGGAAACCTTACCAAAAATAGGGGACTTGACACGTGGCACTTGGCCGAGAACTGACATTAGAATCCTCTAACACTATCTAGTCCCCCACGTCCATATGCAACAAGTACAGTTATTGTGGCAATATCACTTTTTATCTCTCTATTAAAAATATCGTCCATGATCAATAAGAGTTAATTTCACCAGAGGTCCCTTGTCTTTAATGACATCCAAATTTAGTCACATACTATCATTTTTACTAGGGATGGCAATTCGACCCGCCCTCGACGGGGAAAACCGATCCCCGCCTCGACGGAGGCGGGTTCGGGGATTTATTTCGGGGAACGGGGGCGGGGATGGGGGGAATTTCCCAATCCCCGCCGGGGACGGGGACGGGGACGGGGAGGGCATTCCCCGCCCCGTCCCCGTCCCCGATCCCCGAATCCCCGTTTAATTATATAATATATAATATGTATAATATTACTAATAAAATTTTAAAAGTAAAATACTATTATATTTAGCATGTTGTTACTAGTATTCTACATCATATTTGGTTGTTTTTCCCACTATTTAAACTGCCCTATTTTTTTACTGTTAAAACTATCCAACTTAAACAGTGAACTACCCCATTTTTTTTCCATTGCAATATGTCTAACTGTTATTATATTTTGCATGCTGTTAATATCATATTGTAACATAATAATATGTTGATAAAATTATATAATGTGATTTGTTGATTAATTTTATATTTGATTAAGTAAATTATTTTGGATTTGGACATTATTTAAGGATTCGCTTAAAAATATGAATTTTTGTTAAAATATTAGTCTATTTTTTTCATAGGTATAAATCAAAAAACGGGACGGGGATTCCCCGTCCCCAAAAATTCCCCGCGGGGACGGGGATGGGAAATAATTCACCATCCCCGCCGGGGAACGGGACGGGGATGGGAATGGGGATATATTTCGGGGACGAGGACGGGGACCCCATTCCCCGCCCCCGCCCCGCCCCGTTTCCATCCCTAATTTTTACCATTTAATATCCCAGACTATTATATTTTAGATACTTTTAGTCATTCTCATGACTTTTCCTATTTTTAGTAGGGGCATTTTTGTCTCTTCATATTTTTCTTTTGTTATTTTTTCAGTTTCAATCAGTTTAATTGGTTTAAGACTTTACTAAAAATTGGTTGAAAATATTGTTACTAAAAATCAGAGGTTACCTATAAAGTTCTAAACGGATTAAACCGGTTGAAACCGAAAAAAATAACAAAAGAAAAATATAAAAAGACTAAAATGCCCTTACTAAAGTTGTAATAGGCAAGAAAAGGACTAAAAGTGTATATTAAAAAATAATTTGAAATGTTAAATGACAAAAACAATAATCTGGAAGTAAATTTGGAATTGTCAAAAAAGACAATGGAGCTCCAGTGAAATTAACTCAAAAAATAATTTGCAATTTCCTTATCGAACATGATTTGTCCATATCTAATGTGCAAGAATATATGAAGTGGTTTTAGCTGGTTAAATTAAAGTTCCAAGTATTAAAGTGCATAGCCTCAAAGAGTCATTTTGTGTGGTAGCAAATTCCAATTTATTAATAAGTGTTCTCATATAAAACAACAATATAATGGATAATGCCAACATGAACATGCTATGCAACATGTCTCATAGTTTTTATTAAGTGTTTTTTAGTCAATTTATTGTTGGGATTGAACTTAATTGGATGTTCTGACTTAACTTTAGGCTTTGGATTTTAGAGATAAGTGTTGTGATTTGGAACAGTTCATCCCATGTGTTTAGTCGGTTCATTATAGATTATCTTATTCATAATATATTCAATTAAATCTTCATAACAAATTTTAACTGAATAGAATATTAATTAATTAATATTATTCACGCCAAGTAAGATTTCTAGGATGACAAAACATTTTTTCATGAATTTTTTTAAGGTAACAAGGAAAACTTGAAGCCACTAATACTCAATAGCGTGCACTAGATAAATTCCGTTTTTGTATAATAGCCCACAAACCATACAAGAAAGACATTGTTTGACGGGTTCCAGGCCCGGCCCTGGGCAAGGGCAGGCTGGGCCCTTGCCCAGGGCCCATGCTTGGAAGGGGCCCACCAGACTGTACATACACATACCGTTTTATATATACTATAGATATAGTATAATAATTTTGTATGGCTTCATGTTAATAACATTGAAGTTAGTTTAGCCGGTAGGATATGTGGTTTTTTTGGTATAGATCTAGGGATCGAATCCTCTCCTATTATATTACGTGTATATATACTGTTACACGCATCTCTATTTCCATACATTAATGTAATAAAAATAAATAGTTCTATACATTAAACTTTTCCTCTCTTACTCTTTAGGATATTATTATATAGTATTAAAATTACTCTTTAGGATATTATTATATAGTATTAAAATTGTAACTTAAGAAATTTCTTTATATTTTTAATTTATATTATTTAAAATTTAATTTGTAATTTTTTTTTACCTTTTTATAATTATAGTGAGATTTATAATATAGATTGATTTGTGATTCGTATCAAATTTTGAATCTATTTCTATTTGAGTAATTTACTACTTATATTTAAAATATGTGCTATTTTGTGAATTTTATAATGAGTTATGTATCTATAATATATTTTGTGATTTAGTTATGAAAAATATTTTAAAAAATAGTTTAATTTTATTACTATTATTATTATTATTATTAATTATCTAGGCAATGTAGTTTAGAAGTCCTATTGTGCATCATCGTATTCAAATTAATTTAGAAAAACTTGAAATTGATTTAACTAAAAGGAAAAATATTTATAAATATGATAGCAATATAGAAGATGTGTTATTTATTATGTGTTTTTTATTTGAACTATTTTATCCAATTAATTATGTATTATATTTTATTATGAATATCTTTTATCACGTTTAGCCTATTTTGATTTATTTATTGCTTCCAATAATTAAGATTTTATGCTATGCTCTTATTGTTAAGTTTTTTTTTTTATATAATTTTTTATTAAAAATTACTTATTATTTATAATAATAATAATAATAATAATAATGTGATTCTCTATAAGCTCATTTTATTTTAAATTATTTATTCATTTTTAT